GCAGGGGCGACCTCAGGGGACAACCCTCGAGGACGCTGGGCACATTGAGATGGGGGGCGGGGCGGGGAGTTATCAGTCTTTCCATTCATTTTAACACTTAGCTCATTTACTCGCTCCAGCGTTCACAGGGGCCTGAACACAGACTCTGCTCACAACAGCTCTGCGCGGGAGGTGCTATTTACCCGCCTTGACAGATGGGGAAACTGAGGCACGGGGAGCCGAAGTAACATATCCTCGCCTGTAAGAAGTCCAGTCAGGATTCAAAGTCAGGAAGTCTGATTCCTGGATCTATGCTGCCAAGGGCTGCCTCTTAGTCATTCATTCACTCATTCATTCATTCTTCACTCACACATTCACCCAAACAGACCATGGACCTCACTAGGCCTGCCCCTAAGGATGCAGATAGGTTAATTCTCTAGAATAGCTATAACAGCCCCATTTACTGAGGAATCGCCAAATAACAATGAGCGTTGTCTCATTAGTCTTATCTCAGGTAATCCTCCTATTTAGTCTGGTGGAGATTATTGTCCCTGTGTTTTTGTGTTTTTTAAAAAATATATTTTATTGATTTTTTACAGAGAGGAAGGGGGAGGGATAGAGAGTTAGAAACATCGATCAGCTGCCTCCTGCACACCTCCTACTGGGGATGTGCCCGCAACCAAAGTACATGCCCTTGACCGGAATCAAACCTGGGACCCTTTAGTCCCTAGGCCGACGCTCTATCCACTGAGCCAAACCAGTCAGGGCAATTGTCCCTGTTTAATGGATGGGGACACTGAGCCTGGGTCGCTTTTTGTCACGCTGACTCTGCGCTCAGGACGCCCACAGACTCGGGTAGGAGACAAGTGCCATCTACTGTGTCCTCAAGACAAACTCCAGGGGTGCCGGGTGGACCCAGGAAACCTGGGGGGCATAGAGGAGTACCTGGAGCTTATAGGGGAGAGATGACAGCAGGTGCGAGCTGGCCTCAGAGCTGCCAGCAGTGCTGGGGCTTTGGAGGCCCGGAGCCGTGTGGCCACAGTCCCCACCCAGCTCACTTGCCTCACTCGCCCTGCCAGCCCCTGGGCACAGGATTGGAGAGTGCAGAATTCTGAGGGTTTGTTTTTTTTTTCTTCACAGGGAGGCTCCTCTGGCCGGGGCACAGCTCTGAGGGGTGGCTGTGATTCCGAACTTGTCGTCTTCCTCGACTGCTTTAAGAGCTATGAGGACCAGCGGGCTCTGCGGACAGAGATCCTCAAGGAGATGAGGGCGCTGGTGGGATCCTGGCCACCCTCTCTGGGCTTCCGTTTCTTTCTTTTCTTTTTTTAAGTATATTTTTAAAATTGCTTTCAGAGAGGAAGGGAGATCACCCTCTCTGGGCTTCTGTTTCTTTCTTTTCTTTTTTTAAGTGTATTTTTAAAATTGGTTTCAGAGAGGAAGGGAGAGGGAGAGAGATGGAAACCTTGATGTTAAGAGAGAATCATTGATCGGCTGCACACCCCACTACTGGGGATCAAGCCCACAACCCAGGCATGCGCCCTGACCATGAATGGAACCGTGACCTCCTGGTTCATAGGTCGATGCTCAACCACGGAGCCACGCTGGCTGGGTATGGGCGTCAGTGTCTTGACTAAACATACTGGGTTTGGACCGGACAAGGGCCAAGAAGGCCCATTCCTCCTGGATCTGTGGTCCTTGCGCCAACAACTGGGGAGAGTTTTCTTCAGCCACTGCCTCCTGCAGCGCAGCTCAGCCCTTCCATACACACCCCGGAGGAGAAGGCAGATGGGCACATGCCCGGCAGCAGGGGTCTGGGACAAGGCCAGAATTCTGCAAAATCTCATCTTTTACCTTAAAAGCACCAATGGGATTTTTCACTTCCCTTTGTAATAAACCCATGCTTGATTTAATATAATAATATGCATCTGCGAAATGCAGATAGTAATTACAGGACAATAGTAGTTTGTTCTGGAAAGACTTTATGCGTTAATGCATGTAATGAACTCAGAGCAGTGCCTGGCACGTGATAAGGCTATATGAGTGCTTGCTATTCTTATTTCTATTCTTACTATTATTTCTGTTATTATTATCATCATCATCTTCATTTACCATGATGCTCTGGGAGATAGCTGCTTGAGTTTATCCAGGGTTCTGCTGACCTGGCGGACAGCCACACTTTCCTAAATACCCACCTTGTTATTAATCATAATAGCTACTCCTTATTAAATGCTTCACTATTCCAAGCACTTGACATGTTTTGTCTCAGTCCTCCTCAAAACAAACCTATGAGGTCTGCACTGTCTCATCTTCCATTTTACCAGTGGGGACTCTAAGGCACAGAGACGTAGGGTGACTCATCCGAAGTCACACAGCAAGTAAATGACGTCAGGGACCTAGGAAGTTCTGGGGAGTGTTTACGTTTCCCGAGCCTGGCCCAGAAGAGGGAGGCACGTACTGCACGTACTGCGTTCCCATCCTGCCTCCAGCTGCATCACTGAGTGTCTTTGTGCCTCAGTTTCCCTAGCTATAAGAGAGGTGGAGAACTGTCGGCTTTGAGTGGGGATACAATGAGGGGATTGGTGTAAAACTTTCAGCACGGTGCCCGGCATGTGGTAAGTGCTCAAAACATATTAGCAATTACTGCTAAGGAATCAGAACCTCTTGCCTTGTATTTCTCCGGCATCATTTCCTCTTCGCGGGGCACCGATTAATTAAAGGCCTGTGCAGTGGTATTTTAGTATGGCCTGCGGGGAGCCGCGGGGCGGGAAGGATTGCCAGGTTACAGAACAGCCGACTCAGAAGGAAGCCTCTTGCCTACTCACCTGGGAATGAGGCTGCACTTCTTCCGACGACCTCTGGGGGCGCCTGGCCCTTTGGGAGCAGGAACCCTCCCTTCTGGTCCAGAGCTTTCTTTTCCTCTCTGGCTCCCTGAGACCTCCCGGCTCTCTTCCTCATCCTCCAGCGCCCATGCAGGCATACCCCGCCCCTCAAATCCTCCTCACTCTCCCCCAGCGCCCCCAGCTGAGCCCACACCAGCACTGCCCTTCGTCCTGGGTCCTCAGCTCCCTTCCTCACTCCCAGGCCTTCACATCCCCAGGTCAGCTCAGCTCCAGTGTCAAACCCAAGCCCCACGTCTACGCCACCCTCCTGGAAAGTGGCTGCCAGAAGGGCGAGCACGCGGCCTGCTTCGCCGAGCTGCGGAGGAACTTCGTGAACACCCGGCCAGCCAAGCTGAAGAACTTGATCCTGCTGGTGAAACACTGGTACCGCCAGGTGAGGCTGGCAGTGCGGGTCCTGCACCAGGCGTGTGCCTGACGGGACGTGTGCCTCCGTGATAGTGAGAGTGTTTCCCTATGTTTAGCAGCCATTCGTGTTTCCCTTTCTGGGAATTGTCTGTTCATGTAATTTGCCCGTTATTTTCTACGGGGTTAGCTGCCTTTCTTGTTGTTGATTGATTGGAGCTCTTTATATATTGTGGGTGCTGGTTTTTATTTCGCTAACAGTGCAAATCTATCCTCCCCACCTGTGGCTTATACTTTCACTTTGTGTGTAGATCTCTTGACACAGAAAATGTTTGTGTTTGAATGTAGTCAGGTGTGTTCACTGGGAAGGAGGCCTTCAGCCTGGCCCAAGGCCTCCGCACCGTCCTGGGCCTGATCCAGCAGTACCAGCACCTGTGTGTTTTCTGGACCACCAGCTACAGCTGCGAGGACCCTGCAGTGAAGAAGTTCTTGCAGCGCCAGCTTGAGGGACCCAGGTACCTCCTCGTACCCAGCACCCGCTCTCCTGTGCCTGTGCCTGGGGAGAGCATTAACAATGATAAAGCAGGTCGTAGAGAGTCAAAGCCAACTGCTAGCAGGGCACCTCCTCATACAGCGCCTTCAGCCCCAGGTGCAAATAAGAATCCCTTAAGTCAGTGGTTCGCAACCTTGACTGCACATTAGAATCACCTGGGAATCTTTTTAAAATCCTGATGTTGGAGCTGCATCCTCCGGA